GATCAGGTGGGTGAGTTCCTGGTATCAACAAACATTACCTGCAAACATTAAAATAATAAAAGTCTCCAAAGCAGCAATCAATGTTGCCAGATTGGACTGACAAAAAGTAGCCCAGTCAGCGCAACTTAGAAATTTTGTCCAATCACTTAAATTTTTCCACACATTTGACCAATCATCATTGATTCCTGAGTTTAGCAAATGATAACAGTCCCCAGAACAAAACCTTGAGCCATACATCACCAACTACTGGCGATTTTATTCTCCCTGGAACAATTTGACACACTTCACACTTTTTAGAAAAGCTGTCGTGAAATCAGGAATTTTAGGCCGCAGCAATCTAAACAAAAAAAGCCTGCAAAACCCTGGACAGACTGACAAAGGCCTTTTTGAATATCTTTTGGATTTGGAAAATAAAATAAAAAAACATATACTGTATGTATAATGATAGTGATAATACTATCTTTTCTGCTGTATTGTCATTACACTGGAGCAGATGTTTGTTGTTTTGCATTGTTTTCAGTGTGCACAGGATGTCAGAAACATTTGAAACTTGGTGATGTTGAAGGGAAACCTCCCATCCTTTACAATCGCATTGTCATCTGTCTGATGATCAGCAGCTGAAAGGACAGTGGCAGCAAAACAAGAGTTAGCTGTACAGTATGTGGAAGCTTTGTTGAGATTTGTATTGTTTTTAATACATCACAGCAAAATGGAAAGACTTCCTGTGGGAAGTTGAAAGTGAATGGGTAGAACTTACTGCAGCGTCTTTACAGCTACGGATGGGTCATTTAAAAAGTGTACATTATGAACATTAAAATGTATTCGACAAGCCTTTATTTTTATACAGTAATGTATAAGAGCAGATGAGCAGACTTTATAAATAGTAAATGTTTCCTGACTAAAGAAGTGCTCACTGTCAGTCAGTTATGATGGATTGTAGAACTACTGTGGGAAAACTGGTGGCCAAACTTTCTGTATACATTAGGCCTAAACTGTGGACATCAGTGTGCACTTGTATCCTTCATATTTATGTTCATGGAAAATGCTTTGTATAATATTTTCAATTAAAAGAGGGATGGTGAAATGTGCATGTGTTTTTTCTGACTAAAATTAATTTAGTTTTAGCCTTATTGTCAAGCTTACAGCATGGAGGTGCATTGACTATTTTTTTTTTCTAGAAAAAAAAGGGTCTTCATCCAAGGTAATGCACAATCATTATTCATCAATCACTATTGATAAGTAGTTTACACCTTAAAAAAAACTATCCTGATTCATCTCAAATTCTAATGGTAGTATATGTATTTTGTTGTTCAAGTGTGCTATTTTTGCACATTCCCACAGGTCATCCTGAAGTCAACCACCAGAGGTCAGCAGAATGACTTTATTGGGGACAAATGGTAGAGGACGAATCCTAATGTTAAAAATATAAGTCAAAAATCTACTGCATATTGTAATCCTGAGGCCTCACTCACATCTCCTATTTATAAAAGTCCTTTTTTTACTCATTGTAAACTCGGTTTTTACACAATTTTACAGCTTTCAGTAAGTAATGAACCTGTAAAAAATACAAGCATGTGCATACATCTCTTAAATATAAGGAGATATATGTATATATATTTCTAACCTGGACAATATGGACAGTATGCACAATGCTCAATAATGGACATGTATTATAATGTAAAATGGTATAATTATCTGCTGATAATAATTGTACCAGTACATGGTCTTAACCTGATCAAGCGGATCTGGTCTGTTCCTGCTGGACAGTGAGTTTAAGGGCAGTGACAGCAAGAGAGAATGAATCCACCAATCAGGTCTGAGGGGCAGTTCTGTAGGTTTCATCACAGAAACCTCATAGACCGGGTCCTTATAGAATGATATTACTGAAACGAGTAACAATGAGCCATTATTATTTATGATAGGATGAACAGCAAGTGTGTGAAGTGTGGGGTGGAAGTAAGGGACTGTGTTTCATTTATGAGAGGGCAGGTGGTGACTCAAAATTCGTGAGGCCAGGGGAGTCATTTGTAACCTGACTGTGTCCTGTCCACAGACATTTTTGACGGGGAGGGCACAAGTGGGGCACTGACTTATGCAGGGGTATGTATGTGTCTCAGCTTTACAGTTATTCCCAATTAATGCAATTCCAAAAATGTTTATGGAGCCCAGTATGCAGAGATATTCACATACACTAGGCGAAAAAATGCATGGTTTTCGTCCAAAACAGCATGGGATTAGCATAAAGTATGTCTGTAAGAGGAGATTGAGTTCCCACAGAACCCATTTGAATGGTCGTATATTGATTCTATTTGTTCCAAATAGTTTTACCGCTGTATGGCGACAAGACTCGAACCTGCGTCTATCCTGTTTGTGGCAACAACAAAAAAACAGACCACACGTCAGAGCAGAGTTGCCAAGGGGTTCTTGGCGGTACGCAGCAAACAGCACCAGCGGGAGCACTGCAGCCTTTTAAGTATTGTCATTGATTCCACCCCTTAGTACCTCCTTAATACGGCCCCCGCCACTCACAGGCAACAGCGGGAGTTTTCAAAGCTTGCAGTCCGCTGTGTTCATTGACAATAAAAGTGTAAAAAAAATAAAAAATAACCAGAGCGTTTCTGAAATCAGTATAAATAAAATGAAGAGGTGATATGACATGTTCATTATGCATGTGTGCATTATTTTAGAAGCAGGTGTGTGTTCGCTCTCTGATTGGTGCGGTGTGTTAGCTAGCTAGCCATATTCTGCCAGTGTTAGCTACAATGGGGCAAAAGCAGGGTTAGGGTTAGGGTCAAAAACTTCTCCTCACTCTCCACAACTCGACCCTCCATGTCTGACAAATGGCCTGCTGCTATTAGTTCCAATGCTAGCTGAGCAAGTGGGAATGTTAGTGTGTTTCTGGACACTTAATGTGGGCTACAATTAGAGTTGTGACATTCACGAACGAACCGAATCTATTGAACGGCTCTTTAACATGAACGATGGGAACCAAGTCGCAGTTGAGAGCCATTCTTTGTCTTTTTTTCGTTCTTTTTTTTTTTTAATCGCTGTCACGCACACATTACGGCAAAGTGTAACATCTGTCAAAATAATATTTCTGGGTCAACAGACAATTTGCATCGCCATTTAAACCTTCAACACCCAACAGTCAAAGTGGTAGAGGGAAGAAGAGGACCAACTAAGATAAAATGGGTTACCCCCAGGCTAACTTCTTTAAATAAATAAAATATAAAAATGAGCCAGTCTTTTGAACGGCTCTTTGAAAAGGAATGGCTCCTCAAGATCCGGCTCCCTTCAAAGAGCCATAAATCCCATCTCTAGCTACAATGGATATATAACATTCATTGTTTTCTGGACTGGATTCAAACTGACAGCTGCTGGATGAAAATATCATTGGTAAGTTGTTTCATATTATTATGCTGCTATAGATGTTGGCTATCTGTTCTTTTTCAGAAACTGTTTTGTTTATTGCTGTAGACCGCCATGTCTGCTTGGTTAATGTAATAAGGGCAGGACACTTACATTCTATGGAAGACCATTTCTGCCAGTGTGATAGAAAAAAAAGATCCTCAGTCATAATGAAAAACTTTCTCAAAATAATGACTTGGTAGTACTAAGTCATTCATTTGAAGTCATTATTTTAAGATACTAAGTCATTATTTTGAGAAAGTTTCTCATTATAATCACTTACAGAATATCTTTTTCCTGTCACATTGGCAGAAATGGGCTTCCATACATTGCTGTTAGCACACTGTAGTTTGTTGTTGTGGGGCGGATTGTGTAAGATGTGCGACTGTATGGGCATCCAACATCTCAAAATGTATTCATTTACCCCCTATTTGCTGCCTTTTCAACCTTTAAAAATATTGACTATAGATAGCCTATCAACAGTTGTGCTGCTTAAATATCAGCTGCAGTAGGTAATTTTTCTAAAAATAACTTTGTGTTATATTTTCTGAAACTTTCACTATATCCTGACAGTAGTACATGAGACAAATAATCTGTGGATTGTTTTTGGACAAATAACATCATAACTACTTGGGGGAGAACCCCCAGTGTTAGGACCAGCTCTGTTTAACAAAGTAATTCAATGTTTTTGGATAAAATACATATCAGACACAAGTTATTTTTAAAGCAGAGTATTTCTATGCCCTATGTGAAAAAATAGGACCACATGCAGGGACAAGCACAAAACTCTGCTCAGAGGCATCCTCTAAGGGCCCCTCCTAAAATCCACTGCTATTCATTCTAGTGTCTCCTTGCATGAGGGAGGCTGTATACTAAGTACCCCCATTGATCATGTTGTTTAAAAAAAAGACAGAAAGAACCAAATGCACGCACCGTTAGGGTACAATGTTTATTAGAATTTGCGATTAGCGATGTAACATTCACCTACATGGCGCAAAGGAAGTCATAAATATGCTAATATGCACGCCTTTATGGAAATGAGCTCATCTCATCAGGGGATGTTTTATCCACGGAAAACTCAGTGATACACCTGAATCGGGTGGAATGCACAGAAGCCTGTCGCTATGATGACACAGTAAATAAAAGTAGAAAATCTGCAACAGAGTTTATATCAAATATTCAGATACAAATTAAAAGAGATTTCAGAAAAGTCAGAAGAGCACTGGATATTCAGATAGTGAAGTAAAAAGAAAAAGAAAGCTTTGTAATGCACTGCACTGCACCCGTAATAGTCGTGTGTTTCTTGTCATTCACATGGAGCTACAGTACTAAGTTGGCAGAAAAAGGTGCATGGCTTTTGTATTCAAATGAACAACTGTTTTCATCTGAAACAATACAGGGAAACAATCACTTGTGGATGCAATATGGCGTTTCATTTATTTTACAGTGTAGTCCTTATGAATCAATGACTAAAACTATCAGAACTCAGTGGTTAAGAGGTCAGTTTATAAATAAGAGTCAAAACTTGGCAACATTGAAATTCTGTTACAGGAAACAAAGAAAAGTTTAAAAAAAAAACTAAAAAAAAATGTAGAAGACATTAAGGAAAAGAAAGCAATGATAACGTTGTATCCCTGTACCAAAGTGGTGTTGTGGTATTTAGCATGTCATGCTCCATTAGTGAAGTCCCTTTAAAAGTGGGGTTGGCCGTCCCACTTGTTTAACTATTCTGATGGCGGCCATTTTGGGTCTGGCCTGAGCTTAATGTGCAGGATGGGAGAAGGTGAGCTCAGCGAAAGGCAGTAGTCATAGTTGAGGTGAGTACAATAATGTCGATGGTGAGGATCCATGGTTGATAATGGTAAAAGAGGGAGGTCATGCAGCTTGGGCCAGAGGTAAGGAGGGTTGGAAGAATTCTCCGTCACACAGCGGCCCCTAGCCTGGCGATGCTTTAGGTAGGACACAAGACTAGAGAGGAAAAACAGTGCATAATCATGTTAGTTTTATATGTGAGATTTAACACATGAATATAGCAGCTAACTAGGTATCTTTACCTAGAGAATATCTAGGTAAAGATACAGTGGAGTCATGGT